AACATCACCAGAAACTTCAGGTCACCGAGACGAACAAATTCCAGCACAATTTCAATCAAGTCCAGAGCAAGAGCTTCGAAGATCTGGAAGAATACGAAATATACCAGTACGTCTTCGCGAGTATGACTTAACATAATTTCATTATTAAGCGGGGGAGACTGTTATGACCCATTGTTATGCATTTAGTATGTACCCAGCTTAATGCGTTCTTATTGTAAAATATCGATGCGATACCTTTATTGTTCGGATTTTGACGGGACCAGTACCACCTACGACCACAAGGAGCTTCACTACTTTTGTGTCTTATGGCACATAAACTCCAAGCCCTCACCAAAATTCGATTCTGGGAGTTAGAAGAAGTTTCCACCAAGAGAAAAATTACCCCCGAAGATGCGTTTTGTAGCTGTACGCAAGAACGACCACGATATGCCATTCGGCGGGAATTCCTACACAAGATCAACCTCGGCCTCTAGTCTAAGAGCTAGCAACGTTTCCGAGAGAGAATTTCAGGACAGCTGGTTTTTTGATATGACATCTCTCTCACTCCCTCGGTTAGCGTGGGGCCATCTGGCAGGCAGTACTGGTTGTTAACTAGTGCGCATCGTATCTTTACAGTTAAAAATGCAAATTTTTTAACTCATTTTAGTAAGGCTAATTTTCTTTTCATTGGCTTTAACTAGCTTTTAGAAACGTAGATTAATTATTGCCAGACATGTCCGTTGTTGCTAATATTGTGCCAGACGTCAGTTTTTATAAAAAAAAATTTATTTTTCAACTCATTTTAGTAAAGCTCAAAATTTAGTGTGATGTTGTTTAAGTACTAATGAATTTAAAATTAATTTGCCAGGCATTAATTCGGTTGCTAAAGCAAGAGCCAGAAAAGTTGAAAAGAATTACGCTGGTAGTGAGGGATGTAGTAGCAAAATAGTGAATTTTCATAGGATTTTAGTATGAAAACTGGAAACTATAACTACTTGTCTAACATTATAACATAAATCTAATTATTTGAATATCAAATATATTTTTTTTTTCAAATACATACGTTAAGGCAAATAAAAACTTAAAACATTTCAAAAAACATCAACAGGTATAGTGTTGGAATAAAGCAAGAGAAAAGCACAAACATTTTGATATTTATAACTGTCATCAAAATTTTATGCATCTGGATAATTTACTAATTGGGAGTTAAATAATGAACCTAAATTATTATTTTATTATTAATTAATTACGTTAAATAAACTGTGGAGTTTATATATTTTTTAAAAAGCTCATAAAGCTACTTTAATTTTGGCTTCAAAGATCGAGTTTCGTAGTGAGGCTCCTTGAGCTTCGCTGAGATGTGTTGTAAAGGCATTTGTTGGACCAGCCGCAAGAGCCAAAAAGTCCACGAACTTCTAATTCGAACAAAGCGTTATAAAACACGATGGTTTGTTTGGTTTGATGGTTGATGGTTTGATCAAGACGCATAAATTTCATTGGATCACAAACTTTTTTTTTAGCACCGGATGCCATTATCTAATCGCTATCGCTTGCTGATTCCGAAAATCTAGTATTTTTTCCATAAATAAGTTTTCGAGATGTTTGCAATTTACCGTTATTCAGCTTAAAAAGTGGTTCCACTTAATCATGTATGTACATATTAGAGATGGTAATTTTTTTCGCTTTTTACGATCCCGGGATTTTCGAGATGTCGTTGGTTCAATCCCGGGATCAGTCCCGGGATTTAGATATTTATTATTTTTCAACAACTTAAATCGAAAAAATTGCATCAATATGGTTTAAGAAGCTCTCCGATCATATAATAAATAATAAGTAAATGGGCTTGGAACGTACTTGTTTATTTAAAGTGAAAATTATTTCATAAGCAGAAAAGCGAAAGACAGTCATTAAATCTATATGCATTTAATAATGCTT